AGGGCTCTCAAGGCCGGCATCCGATGCGATGTTACGCCGGTGACGAGACGAGAGCCAGCAAAAGGTTCTGCAAGCACAGTATTTTTTCTATTTCATCTTTGTCCGCAATGCACATCATCAGATTGGCCAGACTCCATTGAGGGGCATGCCAGAGCTGATTTGTTACTTTCGAGCGGGAGTTCGCCCACTCCCATGTGTCCGCGCTCTCAACAGAAGCGCCTCATATCGACCGGCACGCTGCAGCTGTCCACTGGTCCAAGCCGAGACCCATTCAAGTGAGTCGCTGCAATTACTGCAACCGCCGACAGGTGCCGGGAGTGCAGGTTTCAGGGCTTGAATTCCTTTCCCCACCCCACATTTTCTGCTGGTAGCCGGTCAGTCTTGCCGCTGCATGTTTCATCATGCCGATGCTCTTAGTAATGCCGTAGCATGCGCAACATGGCGCAGATCCTGCCGTATCCGTATGACATATACACGGATGCATTGGAAGAGTTTTTGTTGCTGCACGCTGCAGCTAGTCTGCTGAGGGGGCAAGGGAATACGCATATCCCTCTGGACATGGGACTGGCGGTAAGGAATGACATCATTGCATGGGCGATGCAAGCTTTGGAACCAGCTAATCAAGCTGCCTATCTGGCCTATGTTCAGGAACTGAATCGCCACCTGCGCCGTTATCTGCCTACGTATCTGCCTGAGCCAATTGGAACACCAGGCCCATGCAGCCCGGCGGCGGAGCACCTAGCATGGCATCTCTTGGCCGAAGGCAGCTCTACGCTATGGGGCGCAGTGAGGCAAGCAGTTGCGTTGCTGGAATGGCAGGCAGACCAGCACTCTTTCAGTGGTAAACAGCCAGCCAATGTGACTATGGGAGCTTTTGGCCATGGGCCACACTGTGGAATCCGCAGTGGCACAACACTGCATCCCTCTTTCTGCAGACTGGTGAATCGATTTATCCAGCATCTGTGTCCCAAACATGTCTGGACTACATTTGCACTGAATCGAGACCTGCGAACCCCGCCGCACAGGGATCAGGGGAACGCGCCGACAGGGAGCCTCCTCACCTGTTTGACACACAATGAAGGAGGTGAGCTGTGGCTTGAAGAAGGGAATGGCTCAAGTGCAACAGCGGAAGCAAATGCCCGCTGCGGAAATATCATCAGGCTGTCGATGCAAAGCCTGCTTTTCCCTGCGCATAGCATGATGCATTGCACATGTGACTGGACTCTGACGAGAAGGGTTACGCTTTCAGCATTCTGCATCGGCAAGGTTAAGCATCTGAAAGCAGCTGACGTGCAACTGCTTGAGGATTATGGTGTTTGCCCTTTCGACCATAGCAGCGCCTCGAACTGAAGCCTGAGAGCACAAGGAAATGCCGGTTCCTCTAATTGGGGTTAGGCCTTCCTTCCCTTTTCCCTCAGGGTCAGCTTCTAACCTAGGTGGCCGCTGCAGTGCTAACATCTTCAGCTTGCATCCCAGCATGAGTCGACATGGACTAAAAGGATGTTGGCCGGTCGGAGTGCACCCTGCTGCCTGATTGCACCAGTACGCTCCTCCCCCTGCACTATTAGTTCCTTACCTTACGCGGCCTGACGCAGGTGCTCTTATGGCGGCGATGCTGGATCGCTCCAATGGAGGCAATGAAGGGACCAGGCAGCAAATTTGTGCCGTGCCG